AATTACAGTTATTTCTTTTTGATGAAATTGTTGCCTTGCATTTATCTTCTTGTCCATTTGAATGCAAGAAGTGGTCAATGCAGTTGACCATTTGCAACCAATTATGACTCTGATAAGAGACTAACAGGAGGGCAGGATGGTGGCTAGAAAGAGCTGGAAACAAAAATCGAGGGTAATAGTGTGTGCTACCAGGCTGTTGTAATGATGCTACTGTGCAAAAGTCAGAGCAGCCTGGAAGGGTCACGGCACATAGTGCTGGGAACATAACAAACCTGTTCCCGGCACTGTCACCCCCTTCCTGCCTCCAGTGAATCACACAATATAGAGAGATGGGAGTGCAGTGAAACATAAGAATGCTATTGGTTTGCTTCCATGGTCTTTGAACTTGCGCACGCAAAGTAACAGCTCCTGTGTGATCTTGATAGTTCCAAGTATTGTTTTTCTTAGATGCCTGAGAGCATTTGTTATCGTGCAAGATATTTGAGTAGAGAATGCTTGTGCTCTGTACCTTCCTTAATGTGGGATATTCTTCTATAACTAGATAAGTTTATTTCAATGTTTTCCCAAGTGATTTCACAGAATATTAAAGTTTTGAAATATACCATGAAAGGATAAATAAAATGGGTTCTGAGGTCAAAACATTTGGGGAAACAAGCAGAATCTTGCCCAGTGCACATTCACCTTACCTTGGTTTGCCCTGGTCTTTCCCAGCTGTGTTTGATCACCCACCACCCCCCAGCTCTTCCCCAGACACTTGTTAACCCTCTGCAGATCATGGGGTCTGGGCTATGTGGGTTTGGGGTGCGACGTACAGTGACCACCAAGCTAATGGAATAGGCTTCAGCTCAATACCTGGTGTAAAAGGTTTTATGACACTCAATGAAATAAGGATCTTTGCTTTTAGCAACGATAAATTTCCCATGAAATATACTATGCAATAAACATTTCAAACTCACTCTGAAAGTAAAGCTAGATTACGGAATGTGACTTTTAAAAACAGACCTGGTTTCCAACACTAGCCCCTCTAATCTAGTATATGCTTAGCTCTGAGAATTGCACGCACTTCGAAATGGTCAGAAAAATCTTACACATCTTCTTACCAGACTAGTACAGGGATTCTGAGCACAAACCACCCCCTAGTCCCTCGTGGTTTGCAGGGGATACTCCGAATGGTCCTCTGTTGCATGTCAGCTTTGTGACGTGCCTCCCTCTTTGTTTGTACATCTGGCCCTAAAGGATTCACCTGGGGCAGTCTGATGGCCCATCAGGAGCAGGTCCACTCAGCCCATTCACTTGGTCCTGTCCAGGGTCAAGGTGATTAGTGTTGTCATTGCTGTTACTATAGTAGCAAGAAAGGGTGGTGGGCAAATCCTTGGATTCATGCAAACATTGGTCCAGAAAGACCATTTTCTCACACACACATGTGGGCTCAATCTGGTTATCACCACCAAGGGGTTGGAGTTGAGAGAATAGCATCCGTGTCAACCTAGTCCTTCTCTTTCAGTTTTCTAGTTCCTTCCTACCCCAGACTTCACTGGCTAAATAGATTTAAATTTTCATTTTCTACCTCGTACTTCACTATTGACTTCACTTTTTCCATTGGAATATAATGTGCATTTAAATATGCACCCAGTAGGGTGGCATTGATTATTTTATTTGACTATATCTATTAAAGATGAGAAATCTGCCTGGTGTAGTTGTGTAGATCTGTACTGCACAAATTCACGTGCATAGATCAGTGGTTCTAAATGGGGGTGATTTTGCCTGCCAGGGGTTATTTGACAATGTCCTAAGCCATTTTTGAGTATCACAACTGAGTGGGGGAGAGATACTGCTAGCATCTAGTGGGTAGAGGCCAGGGATACTGCTGAACATCCTACAATGCACTGGATGGTCCCCCACAACAAAGAATGGTCAAGCCCAAAATGTCAGTTGTGGCCAGGTTGAGAAACCCTGGTGTCAATAAACAGGAAAATCCTTGTAAACTATTACACGGATCTACATTCACTGAAGGATAATTTGGTAACTTCCCTCTTGGTCACTGTTCTCCTGGTATCCAGTTCACATAAAGGTCATTTTGTCATTTGGAAGTATTTAATATATGGTTGACACTCAACTGTTGATGAGACCCAGAAAATTAAGGCAAACTTGTCCCTAAGAGATGTCAAGATAACACAGTATGAAAAGGCCATGCTTATCATTTTAGTGGGAATATAGCACAGTGGATAAGAGCATGACTCTAGCATTAGACTGCCCGAGTCCTGTTTCCAACTCTGCCATTTAGAGATATGATTTGGGGCACATTATTTAACATCTTTGTATCTCATTTTTTCCTCTTTTATGACATGGGGATGATGACAAGGATAATAGTATCTATCTATAGGAAAATTATGAAAATTAAACAAGTTAATAAAAATGAAGTATTTGGAACATTAGCTTGACTCAGGATAAGTCCTATATAAGTGTTAGTATCATTATTATTGTTTCTTCAAGTCAGGAATACACTTCATCAAATATCTATACATTCATTCCTTAATTCAACAGATTTACCTAGCACCTACTATGTCCCAGGGACTATTCTAGCTGCTAAAGATACATCAGTAATCAAAAACATCAGGTAAAAATCCCTGTCCTCATGGAGCTTACATTTTAGTGGAATTTACTGGTAATAACGCAAATAGAAAGAAAAATGTATCCAAATTATGCTTATCCTAGTACCTGTCCTAAAGTTGTTGAATGAATGGATATATTTATTCATATTGTTGTTTTTGTTGTTATCGTTATACAGCAATTGAGCTTGGAGGTTTGAACCATCATCTTAGATAAGAAAAGAAGCTACACCAAAAGTGCCATGCCAGTAAGAAGTTGAAACTACTACATAAATATTAGAAAGAAAAGAGGAGGAATGACATAGGCCATCATCTATGGCCATGAATTTTATTTAAAATGAGCTGAGGCCCGGCGCGGTGACTCACGCCTGTAATCCTAGCACTCTGGGAGGCCGAGGCGGGCGGATTGTTTGAGCTCAGGAGTTCGAAACCAACCTGAGCAAGAGCGAGACTCCGTCTCTACTAAAAATAGAAAGAAATTAATTGGACAACTAAAAATATATAGAAAAAATTAGCCAGGCAGGGTGGCGCATGCCTGTAGTCCCAGCTACTCGGGAGGCTGAGGCAGAAGGATTGCTTGAGCCCAGGAGTTTGAGGTTGCTGTGAGCTAGGCTGACACCATGGCATTCACTCCAGCCCAGGCAAAAGAGTGAGACTCTGTCTCAAAAAATAAAATAAAATAAAATAAAATAAAATAAAATAAAATGAGCTGAACCTTTTTTTCTTCCTTATCTGTGTATCAGAGATACCATCACCTCTAGGCAAATTTCCACATTCTAAGACATTAAGACCTTCTAAGCTGTGGCAGACTTATCTTTACATATGGCAAAACAGAGAGTAATGTTGGTTATTTTCAGATGACTGCAGCTGAAAAGGAAGAGTCAACAATAATTCACTCACTCCTCCAACAATTATTCACTTCTGAAAGAAAATACTCCTTCAGAATAGTCACCACACGAGCATGGACCTCAGCATTCACTGAAGAACTTGGTTCAAATAAACTCTAGACCTTGTTCATTGATTCTTTATCTTTTCTTTTCCAGGAATCTTCTCTACGTCTACCCACAGAGGCTGAACTTTGCTAGCAAACTAGCATCTGCCCGGAACATTACAATAAAGATTCAGTTTATGTGCGGAGAAGATGCTAGCAACGCTATGCCGGTAAGGGGGAAATAAACATTTGCCCCAAGCCAGGGTGGGCTGCACTCCCTGTCAATTCACACGCGCCAAACCCAGGACTCCTCAAACACAGAGCATGTCTGTTCCAGGCCAAGGCTACTCAGCAGGTGCGAGGGCTCTCGTTCCCATGATACTGATGGGAAAACATGGTCAATCTCAAAGTCTATAGACTAAGTTAAGAAAGAGATTTTGAAATACAGATCATTTTAGAGGAGTGAAAAAAATCATTGTCTTTCCACATTACGCATAGGACCACACCACTCTTAAAGCGTACAAAGTGAAGAGCTGGCCCAGCATGTCCGCCGTGTTTGCTGAACGTTTTCCATGCACACACTGCATGACACGCTTTCCCAAGCCTCAGACCACATCTATTAATAAATATGAAGTACTGCCTAATAATAATAATCACACATCAGCTCAACACTTTTTAGAAATGGACCTTCACCCTGAGGCGAAAAATAAATCAAATAATGTATAATACAGTGTGCTCTTGTTATCAAACAAATGGGCTCACTGTCCGATGCACAGAAGCCAATATTATGGAACCAGCTTTTGAGAAAAGAAGGGCTTTATTGTGATGCCGACCAGCAAGGAGACAAGACAGACTCAAATCTGTCTCCCCAGTTTGGGGCGTGGGGCTCAGAGGGCAAGGGAAAGGATTTAGGAATGTTAGCTTGGCAGGGTCTGATTGGGAGGCTATAAATTGGACCATTTGTGGTAAGGTATGTTGAGGTAGATTTTAGCCCTGGACCTTCCAAGCCAACAGAGCCCTCTTTTCTGCAAGAATTCTAACATTCAGGTTCTGCTCATGTCTCAGTCTTCTTGGTGTTACAGGGAGGACTTCTTGGTCCAGGTGTTGTTGGAGGTCAAAGCTTTTTCTGTCGCACATATCTAGGATACATGACTTGCAGTTTTGGGCTCTGTTATACCTACAAGGTAACTTGACATTCTGTTATCAAGCGAGTAGGCCCAGTTTGTACTGGTCTCATGATTACACTTTCAGGAACCCAAAATGCCAGAATTTATTCTTCTTTTTGGCCATCTGCCATTAAATGAGATGGTGGTTAGTTATTACTACTTTCCGTAAGTCATCAAATTCAGTTAATATCCTTTTCTACTAAAGTAGTTTTTTTCCCCAATTCTTCCATTCTTTAAATATCTGCTTTTTTTTTTAAACCTTCCTCCTAATGTCCCACCTATCTTCCCAATGCAAGGTGTCCTCTTGCAATGGTGGTGGGGTCCTCCTAGTCCTCTCTGCTCTGACCCCGGGCAGGTTACCACCAGGGCTGCCGCAGATCCTGTATGTAGCTAAGATACCCAGCCAAGGAGCCAGTGGGGGCTAAATTCCAGCCTATTCTCCACCCACTGAGCCCTGGGACCTGGCATGGGGATTACTGCATCTAGAGGAGAAGGCTTTTTTTCTTTGCTCAAAGGTGAGTCCGCGTGTCAATCATGTGCATCCTAAAGGCTGCTTCAGGCCTTAGGAGGTATCTTTTTCTAAATAGTACAAACATGCGGACAGGGCAGTGAAGAGCCACATCACCCCCAGTGCCCAGGCCCATGTCTTTGGAGAGAGAAGCGAATGGACCAGGGCTTTCTCACCGAGGGCAAAAGGATGTGATTTTGCCCTGTTGTGTAGACCTCTAGGTGGTAAGGCAGAGTGGAGAGAGCGCTGGCTTTCCAATCTCACAAACCTGTGGCCCTTGGTCACTTTTAAAGCCCCTTGGAACCTCAGTTTCCCTTTCATGGCCAGTTCTTCAGCACTGGTGTGGTCAGGCCAGTTGTAGAACCCAGAACTCTTCAAGTACAAAATACAGCTCTGTGAGACCAGAACATCCTCTTGGCCTCACAACCGTCAATTTTCTATACCCAAGTGTCACTGTTAATTTGATCCTTTCTGTATTGGTGAACAGGTCATCTTTGGAAAGTCCAGTGGGCCTGAATTTCTGCAGGAAGTGTACACGGCCATTACATACCATAATAAGTGAGTATATTTCAGAGTTCTAAACACAGGCTAAGATTGTTTTATTATCTCCTGGCTTTCCTGAGTCCCCTGGGTGATTCCTCCCAAAAGTTTTGATAATTCAGTGACTAAGGGACAAAGGAAACTCATGCCCGTTCATGATTCTGTGCTGGAGATGCACAACTCTGTCATTGACTAAAACTGAGAGAAGAACAACATATCTTCAAGAATCCAATATGGTTTTGACCCTTCTGGAGCCTTCTATTCTAGTATGAAGCAGAGAGGTTGTCTCATGTTACATAAATAAATTTCCTAACTTGCTTTGAGGTACTGGAGGGGGCAGAAGCAAACTCTTGTTCTCCTCGCTTGTGTCCCCATCTTCTGTACCACTCCGCGCCTGCTCGGTCCATACTCTAAGTTGTCCAAAGGAAACATGGAACCCTCGTTACTGTATCAGCAAATTGAGTCACAGCATAATGTCTAAACTGTTACTCACGTTCCAGGGGTAAGGGAGGGACATCTGTGCAATGTCAGATAGAATTGGGTTTGAGCCTGGCCTGATAACCTTGGCCCATTTAAGTACTTCATTTGACCACATTCCAGGATCAGATGAGGATAATGTAAACTTTACTCAGTAAAGTATCTAGGACTCCGTTGTTCAGTAAAATTTCCTCCCTGCATCATTCATTTGTTTCTCCAGTCCCTTGATGATGGCAGTTCTCAGGGTAGAGCTAGACAAAGGAGGTCACAGCAGGACTCAGAACCTCATCCCCTTTTCAAATTAAGTTGTTGGGTTTTTCCATCATGTGGAGGGAGTTGTTTTCCTGACAAAGCCTTTAGTTGGCGAGTGGTTTGATGTAAGTGAAGGGTATCTAATAACACAGGCTTGGTCTCAAGGACTTGCAGCTTAGGAGCAGAACAATGTAAAGTGAAAAGCATAACACCAAGCAGGCAAGTCCTGAAGAGCAAAGAGTCCGTGTTGTTACAATTTATAGTCAGAGAGTCATCATTCTTGCTAAAAGCTATTTGTGTATAATGTGCTTTTGAAACAGGTCTCCTGATTTTTATGAAGAAGTGAAAATTAAGCTCCCTGCTAAGCTCACAGTAAATCACCACCTCCTGTTCACCTTCTATCATATCAGCTGTCAGCCGAAGCAAGGAGCCACCGTAGAAAGTCTCCTGGGATATTCAGTGAGTTGTTTTTAACTTGCCGACTCACACTGCAGTTGTTGGTGCATCCAAGGTCCCTGCAGAGATAAACAACTAAATTCCATTCACTTGCTTTTTTTCTTGTCAGAAGTAGCAAAACATGCTAAACCAGATCACAGCAAAGAGCAGAAGTGATTGGACTTAGCAAATGTCAAATTTCGGGAATGGAAAGCTAGCGGACGATAGATATTGAAAGAATACTCCTTTTTTAAAAAAGCATTGCAATGTCCATTATTTCTAAATTTAATATGTGCATTTCACATATACAACTAGCTCTTTTTTTCCCAAGGGGGAAAAAAGTTATTTCTTTAAGAAATGTAAAAGGCAAAATAAACATTGATGTTGTTCAGACACACACAAACATTGGCTATAAAGAAAAATGCTACTGCTTTGGCTCTGAAAGCAGTAAATCATCGATATTACCATCTCAGGAGCTCTCAGGGAATTTAAAATGCAAAGAACTTGACAGAAATTACTGCCAAAAAGAGCCCAGATCAATATCTAATCATTGTTTAGTTGCATTTGATTATTGTGAGCTAGATAAATTGCCGGAATTATATGCTGTAATAAATACCACTTTATTCTTTACATCATCTGTTTCAGTGGCTGCCAATTCTCTTAAATGAACGTCTTCAAACTGGATCCTACTGTCTCCCAGTTGCCTTAGAAAAACTGCCACCCAACTACTCCATGCATTCTGCCGAGGTAACCGGCCAGCCGGCCACCAGCTGTTTCCTGTCCAGCTATGGTCTTGGACCACCTTCCCAGACATACTTCCTGTTCTCTCAGATGTCACTGACAATGCTCATCGTGTTTTCTGGGGCACACAGTGTCTTCTGAGAGAGCACACTGTTCTGATAGGATGGGAGGGGGTAATAACTGGCTGTGAAACCTCATTCATTTAGACGTCACCAAATCAGAATGTTTAGCAGATGCAACCTGTATCCAAGGCAGCGTTACCTTGCATTGTCTACCACAAAGTGATTCTCAGAAAAATAAATTGCAGAAGAGGAAGCAAATTGAGCCCACTTGCGACAAACAACTGCTCCTAGCAAGGATCCTTATGAAAGATTCCCAGGCCAGATTCCATCCATTCCTTCTCTGGGTCAATTGTCACAGCCCCAGGTGGATACGGCCAGGCCAGTTTTATTCCTCTAAAGATCCCAGCGCCAATAGCCTTTCCCCCTTCCTGTTTCCTGTACTCCCTCTTGCCCATTCACTCTGCTGCATTGCACCCATTTAAGAGACCCCAAGGAACTCTCCATGCTGATCACACCAGCACAGCTCTCATGCGTCTCAGTCCCTTGCATAGGTTTACATCAATAAGTATTATTTTGAAGCAAATCCCAGACATCAGATCATTCCATTTATAAATATTTTAGTAAGTTAAGGACTCAGACTGGGCACAATGACTCACACCTGCAATCCCAGCACTTTGGGAGGCCAAGGCAGGAGGATCTCATGAGGCCAGGAGTTAGAGACCAGCCTGGGCAACATAGTGAGACCCCATCTCTACAAAAAATATGAAAATTAGCCAGGCATGGTGGTGCACACCTGCAGTCCCAGCTACTGGGAAAACTGAGGCAGGAGGATTGCTTGAGCCCCAGGAATTTGAGGTTGAGCTATGATGGTACCACTGCACTCTAGCCCAGGCAACAGAGTGAGACTCTGCCTCAAAAAATGAAATGAAATGAAATGAAATGAAAATAGTACATACATGGCTCACATTATATTTCCATTGGACAGTGTAGTTTTGGATCATAGATGGCAAACTCATGTGCCCACAGGAACTGGAGGAGTAACATAGATGAATGCCTGGGTCTGGTGGCATTTGTTCACTTTGGAGATTGCCCCATCTAAAGGTCCAGCTGCCCCCTTGGCTGTGCAGCTTGGTGCCATGCTGGGATACAAGGCTAGTGTTTTCATATCTTCCAGTTCTTAAATGAAGTTAGAAAAGCAGTCTTTTACATGAAATTTTCTAACTTCCTAATGTTGGCAACTATTTCAAAAAAGTTTCCAACACTCTGTGGGCCAAACAGAACTTGTCTGTGGGCTGGGGCGAGCTTTGGGCCGCAGTTTGTGACTCTGCTTTAAATAGCTCCAAAGGTCTCCATCCCATGCGCCCACCCACCCTTGCAAGTACAGCATGCTTCCTTCCATTAAAATGAAAAAGATACAAACCCAGGCTAGGCCCTCCCCACTCAACGCCTAACAGGCATCTCTAGAGGAATACAATTCCAATGGAAATTTAAAACAAGAAACTGTCTCTAAGTTCTACACACATATTGATACATAAATGATATGAAATAGTCACTATGAGTAATTAAAGCAGGAGCCAAGTGGGCCTGCTACTTGGAAACACTTTTTTAAGGGG